GTTACAGAAATCCTTCAATGAGACAAATGAGAGCGGAACGTTTTTACGAAACGAAGGCTGAGAAAATGTGTTTACGAACTGTCTTTTTGTTGTGGGACATGAAATAATAATAATAAAAAAGATTCACTCTTGACAAAATCCTGCTTAACTTCTCAGTTCTCGGTGGATGAGCTGTTTCTCTAAACAGTGACATTCACAAAGCCGATAATTAGTGACGACAGACACGGTTTTACACACAATATAATTGTGTTTTCGGTGTCTGTCTAAGCTATTCACCAGTCAATCACTTTCATGTCCTTTCATGTATGTGGAATTAGATATAACACAAAGAGAATGAAAGCGCTCAAGAAATGGACATTTTTTTTCCAGCTATTCTGTCACCACAATGTCATAGAAAATTGCATTGTCTTGATTGTAAAAGAGAACATTAACTGTTGGTATGCGGCTAACCAGCATTCAGAGTTAATGGGACAGATTCGAGCACTAAGCTGAGGAATTTTTAAATCAATAAAACAGCCCTGAAAGACTTTAAAGGATGGGTGTAGTCGGTTTGAAGTAATGCACAGTTCCATTAAATCGTTTAATTCCCAGATCCATCTATGTTGCAGAAATGAATGAGCCACACACAATTGACCGGACTGGAAGAAAAAACTGGAGGACGGACGGACAGACGTAGGAGATTTGGATGGCCAAGGCGGACGACGGGCATGAGAATGAGCTGCAAGCATGCAGGGACAGTTGAACGGCAGGGACAAGGCACCTGCCTGCTGGCACAATCTCAGACTAGCCAGCAGTTAGATAGCTGTTGATTTTTCTTTATTTTTCATAAGATTCAAATTTAATTAAGGGGTTAGGAGAAAAATGGCCTAAGCTGATGGTATAATGAGTTGCTGCGGGACATCTTTTTAATAATCTCAGTTTGTAACAAAGACATTGCCAAGTCTTAGTGTGCTCATGAGTCACAGGCTTCGGTGGCCATGTACTTTCATTGCCCAGATAAATCTCGCAGAGCCTAAGGAATGCTTTTGTTTGCACGTAATCTTCTGATTAAACTGATGACTTCATTTCACCTTCAGCTCTAACCTATAACTGACAATAGAGAAAAGCTAGCCTAATACATCACGTTCACTGTGTACTTTTCTCAGTGAACCTCAAACAAAAGCATTTGCGGTTGCAAATTCATCGCTGTGGTCTTTAAGGAAGTGTTCACTTGTAGTCTGGTTCTCTTGGTTCTTAATACTAAAATACTAAAAAGAGCTAAAACCTCTATGAATGCTTAAAGACAGTTATTTAAATGCCCCCATGCTTTGACTAAGCAGGAGCACCTGGAGATGCTGCTTACTCACACTTTACGCGGCACACTTTTCCTACAAGCTGTCGTCATCCCTTTCCTCCTGACTGCTCTCCTCACTATCTTCTTTTCTCTTGAACATAGTAAATGATGATGATTTTGTTTTTATTTTATTAACTTTAATGACAGACAACAGCAGGAAAATCAGGCTGCTGTCACTTTAAGACTGAATACATGGACCGAATATACTGACACACATCCGTTTTTTTCTCAACTGTTCACTTATGACATAGCCGAGAGAATACTTTGCCGAGACGGGTATTTTGACATAATTGTGTGTGTATGTGTCCGTTCAAGCGCAAGTAGCCGTGAAAGAGGAATCTAGTGTTCAAGCGGTGAATGGATCACGGATAAACTGCGATCTGTTGCACCCATAATAATTAATGAACACACTAATTATTATGATTGCTACCAGAGACGGACAAAAATCCTACACCAGTAAGTAAACATGTCTCTGTCCCCAAAGATGTTGGTACGCGGACATTTTTTTGTTATACTGGTTGAAACTCTCTTCATATCCTGATAGCAATCAATAATAGAAGTGGTCTAAATATTAAAACGTACATATTCTTCTGTGGAAGTCTCAGGACCAAAATAATTTTCATCGATCCGAATACAACAATGTCCTACCTGCCTGTCAACATATGTATTTCCATACCTCTGCCAGGCCCGGCTCCAGCTTTGAGATATAAGGTGGGCCACGTGACATTCCTGGTGGGCTGGAGTTTTAACATTATTTTATTTTTTCCCTGTAAAAGATTTTGTAACTTTATTTTATAACAAAAGGAGCAGGTCTAAAAAGGCACTCTATAAGTAAACACATAGGGCTCAAAGCTCAACGCTTTACTGGTTACTTGCCCTGCATGCCAACATTTTCACTGGCCACACCACAAAAATAAATAAATAAATAGTTTTTTAAAATAAATAATGTTAAATAAAGACACTTATGAACAAAGTACAAGCAAATGAAACAATAGCACAAATAAATACAATAGAACAAAGATACAAATCAAATAAACAGATTTTGTACAGTACAGGTACAAAATACTATAATGTACTAATTAAATATATGTTAATCCGTTTTAAAGCTGAAAAAAGTTATTCAGTCGCAGACAGATTTGAACAGAGATTTAGGCTACTGTCACTTTAAGACCAAATGCACGGATCTGACACACATTAGATTTTCTCCCAACTGTTTACATTCATTAAAACTTTTTTAACTCAGTTAAGACTGTGGTTATGAGGATACTCACCAAAACGGGCATTTTAACGTAATTTTGTATGTATTCGTCCGTTTAAGAAGACACAAAAGAGATCTCAGTTCGCTGACGCAGCCCTCTGACTGTGTGCGCTTTGTGTGTATGCGCACAGAAAACAGCATGTACCGAATTGAGTTTCTTTTGAGTCTTCTTGCGCGTGAACAGCTTAAAATCATTTTGTATATGTTTATGAAGACCGCGGTCATGTTCTAATACTGCTTTCTAGTCTCTAAATAACAAGCGAAATTTTGATATCAAGCAGCTAAAAACCTAGCCTGGTTAAAACCAGACCATTCTCAGTTGTAACTGAGTTATAGTCTGGCAAAGCGTCATAGACAAATCATTTCCAGAGGGGCGTCACCAACGGACGTCGCGGATAGACCTAAACCCAATCAGAGCGATGAAGGAGATGACGTATGCAGAGTGGCGGAGAAATATCTCCGAGTGTTGTTCTTTGCTCGGGTTTTAACTAAAAGGAAACGTTCAAATCGCTTAAAACAGACGCGATAGCTGATTCGAACGAGTGATGTTTGACGGCGGCATCCATCTTTGTAATGTAGGCTACAAAATCTGCTTCAAAATCCCAGCGCTGTGGTCATCGTGTAAAGCCCGCCCCAACGTTTCTGACTGGTGCCGCGATTTCGACGGATTGGAAATGGGCTTGAATTAGCTCTTTGCCAGACTAACTTTCAGAGCAAATCTAAATTTGCCGGAAGTTGTCTGGGTTTTCCCAGGCTACTAAAAACCATGATCTCCCTCAAAATCTGCAACATCCCAACAATTTTGCAATCGGTAGTTATTTGGCGCGGGGCCAGGGTGGGACACGCTTCTGATTGGGTGGGCCAGGCCCACCGCCCTCTGTGGTGCCGCTCCGGCCGCTCACCCTGCTGACGCATACATTACACGTCATCCGTGTTCCGTAAGTCTATGCAGAGTTGTAGACAGTCACCGAGCGCCACAAACAAACAGCAGCCGCCCTTTACAGTATCTTCTGGACCACAACAATGAGCTTATACTGTTGAGCTTCACGCCATGCCATAACATAAATTAAGAGATGGCAACACGTTACGTTCTACCCGGAGCTGTTCACGTCCTCAGACTCGGATTTATGCATTTCTATGTTAACAGTTAACACTATCAACACCGGAATGAATCTGCAGTAGTCAGGTGGTACAAGTAAGAGCTCTGTAAGTTGTTTAAATTCATTATTATTGTAATGTTATATGCTTTGAGACATGAGGTAATTTAACGCTGTTCTTCATCTTGTAACACTTTGCAGACTCTGCTGTGCGCGTTGATGTGTTTTGATGGAGGCATGGCTTTGGAGACGCTCTGAAGGGAGGGTGGGATCTCATGTTTTCAAACTTGCTACCTTACCTTTATTTAAAAAGAGCTTATCGTTAGTCTATATCACAACCTCGGTTTTGTTCTTGGTCATTTTCAGCTATTTCAGCTGACAACACTTTAAAATCTTAAAAATAACCACTCAGCCTTTTTAAAGGACCCTACCCAGATAGCACACTTCTATTTGATGTGATATTTACATCTGGAAGACGTATTTTTAAGAGTGTTTGCTCATCTGCAATACGTCTAGGACGTTTCCTGTCAGATGTCAAATAGACGTTTAGAAGATGTCTTTAAGATGTAATGATTTAGAATGCATGTTAAACTGACATCTTCTAAACGTCTATTTGACATCTGACAGGAAACGTCCTATAGACGTATTGCAGATGAGCAAACACTCTTAAAAATACGTCTTCAAGATGTAAATATCACATCAAATAGACTTGTGCTATCTCATCTGGCTTAAGGCTATTTGAGTTATGATTTCATGTTTAATCAGGACAAATTGGTTGTTTTCACTATTGATAACAACATTAAGCTTAACTCTATTTACCGCAACTATAATATTGCATTCGCTTGACTTTGTATTTGTCATTACAAGGAGATTTTTTTTTTTTTTTTTTTTTTTTACATGTATCTCCATGTGCTAGCTACAGTACACCTTTTGTTATATTAGCTACTGAATGAAATAAACCTACACAAAATCTCATGTTTATAAAGAGCGTCTACAGGTTACCAAGACGCTACTCTCTAGAGATGAAAATCCTCAAACGACATTTTCATCAGCCGCGTACGCTTCATGTTTGGCATGTTCCCATGGAGACCAGCACCGTTCTCTGGTAAAGTTCCGCCTACCTGGCCGCAGCTCCTACTGCGATTGGTAGTCAAACCTTTGGCAGGCGTGTTCTGAATGATCATTGGCTCGCTGCGCTGTTTGTCAGTCTGTGAGAAGGATGTGTACGGGCGGGAGAGAGGGGCGGCGGAGCGGGCGTTTAGAAATGATGAACAACGTTAACAGCGCAGAGATTTCGGTCTTTATTGACTGTAGTAACTGAATATACTGGAAGTCAAACGTCTACAGCATTAAGAAGATGAAATCAGCGTGAAACAGTCATCAAATCACGAGACACGGGTGAAATGAAGCACTGCATGTGTAACTGTGCAACAGGTAGATGAATTAACTTTATGAAATCATTTGTTTATTCCGTCTCATAACCACTCGACATGAAACATACGATGGTTTGGTTAGAATCTGTAGCAAACCTCGTCTTTATAAACATAATCAAAGTCTGTCTAATATTCTAACATGCTATACTAGACTTACTATACTATACTATACTATACTTACTATACTATACTAGACTTGCAATACTTGTGCTTACTAGACACACGTTTGTTTTTAAGCCAAAGTTTATTGAGAATAATTTACAACACCTTTAAAAGGCTTAAAACATGTTTTCCCTAGTATAATAAGAATAATTTGTAAAGTTTTTAAAGAAGCAGTGTTAATTGCTTGTTTATTCAATGTGTGGTGTAATTGCAATTATCACATTCAAGAAGAGCTGCAAGTGAAGCATAGCTCACAGAGAGTTTATTTTATTACTGAGACTGCCGGGATGTTTCCATTAGCTGTAGATTTTCTTTTATAATACTGAATTACTGCTAATCAGATTGCTGCAGTTTGTTAATGCAATTGGTGTCAGATTTACAATCTTCTCATTACCTTATTAAGCAGATAAATGTTATTGATATCTAATATTGAATGAATTTCCCTCTCAATCATGTTGGTTTGCCGGATGGCGTCTACCTTAACTTTCTAGTCCAGAAATGAACATGAGGCGAATAGAAAATAACAATAAGGCTGTTTATGCCTAGGCCTATATGTCAAAATAAGTTAGCATAATAGCTAACATGAATTCACTAACCTAACATCAGCAATAAAAAAAGAGTATAATTAAAATGAACAAAGTTTAACAGCTAGAACCTTGTTGTGAAATGTAACAGAATAAACATGGGATTGTAAATGTAAAATAAAGGGTGTTTTTATAATTGAGATTTATATCTAATGTCTTTTATATTTAATAGCAATAAATACCAAAAAATACATTTAAACCACTCGATAAATCTGACAAACAGGTTGCATTGATTTATTTATTTGAAATGTGACAAACCTAGGCCATTTTATGTTACATGCTTAGTTTTCTCCCCGCCGTCCCATATAAATGAAGCACATCCTGTCTGATTCCACAGAGATATGAGTGTTACACTGTATTTTGATGATCAGTCATGGTTCATCTGGTGTAGATGTTCTCCGTGCCATTTGTTTTCTCTGCAATGATTTTGGTTTTTGGTGCATTTCTTTACTAATACGAACCAGGTTGCATCAGCACAGACAGAGATCAGGCTTTTTGTCACAGATGATGAGAACGGCAAGGTCTATCCGGCAGACTTTAAGCCATATATTCTCTCTATGATGTCCTTTTTTTCTCTAAATCTTCCTTTTTTCATGAAAGAGTCGCCTGGTTTTCTCATTAATTACAGCTGTGGCAGAAGATACAACTAGCTATTGTGATCAGAGGCAGCCAGACCTCAGTAAGTTTTGCAGCACATTGCCTAATTAGAACTGGTTACATGTGGAAAACAAAGGCAAAGTACTCTTGGGGATTGTGATATGTTATTAAAACCGTTTATTGCGGGGGCGACTGGCTTTTAGGACAATGAGGGGGCCTATTGGAGATCTGAGCAGCTTTAGCTGTCAACTGAGGCTGTGGTTCACTTTCTTTTCTTTACTGCTGCTCGAGGGAATTTTTAGTTTGTGTGCCACAGAGCTTTGTACTTCTGACCTTCATGTTGAATTTGTCTGCGCAGATGACCAGCCCCATTAAGGAGACAATGGATAATCCAGACCAGACGAATGGTATTCTATAATGCATGTACTTTTGAAGGAGACTATCTGCTCCCGGCGTATTTTATGTACCGCAACTGTTAAGGCAAGATTTGCAAAAATAGGCCCTTTGAAATTGCTGTTGTTAAGTACTCAGTTTTAATGACTGACAAAGTGTGATTCAAGGGGCTCAAAGATGGGGATGGGAACATTATACCAGTTTCAGACTACACGATAACAGCCCGATTTTGGCACAGTCCGCTTGATGTAGGGTGTTGTAGTGATTCGTAAATGATAATGGGCGACGGGTCGCAATAATTTATCTTTTTATCTCGTATAGACCTTATGCCTATGTGCCAGAGAAACAAACGCGCAGCCATCTTTAGAATATTGTCTTTGAACTTCTGTTTATATATTTCTATGGCTTTGCTGTCAAAGAGTAATTAGCCGGTGAAGTGGATTTACTCATTGCATTGTAATGTTTAACAAATGTCAGTAGACTGGGAAAATTTTAAACCGAGCGGCTCATTCATAAATCCGTAAGATTTATCCTCCATGCCGTCTTTTAAACAGCTTGTGAGTCGCAAGTACCAAAACGAGTGGCTTACTGCACTTAAACGGTCAGATACACACAAAATTATGCCAAAATGGCCTTTCTGGCGAGTATTCGGTTAAACAGTCAGTTTTGGAACGTAAAGTTGAGAGAAAACGCATGTTTGTGTAACACAGTCTTTTGGATCTGTGCATAAACTCTAAAGTGACAGCAGCCTAATAAACCTGCTGCCGTCTGTTATGTTAATAAAAGAACAAAAGTAGAAGAAAATCACTCTCTGCTCTTGACTGAATAACTTTTGTAACTTTAATTACTCCTATAAGCATGAAAAAATGCATTCATACTAAAAAAATCCAAAATGCATGCAAATAAACTTAACAAGAACTGATGAAAAGAAGTCCTTATTCCTAGTGAAAAGTTTGCACTGTTTTCACAAGTATTTTTCAGGTCTGGCTGTTGCTTCCTGGCTGATTTGAGACCTTTTTATAATCTTTTTCTATATTTTATACTCCATTGTACCTTTTTAATACTTTTTATAGTGCCTATTTATACTCAGCATTTGAAAGCGTGAGCGAACACAGGTGCTCGGGAACACATGCGTACTAGAAAGATTAATCCTTGTCCAGTTTCTGCGCTTTTTCGCTCCAAAAGTTACAATAAAAATGTCTTTGTACTCGTTTAAAAAGAGTTGCTGCTTGCCGGTATGTTTTAACTCCTCACACAAGTGCTCCACTACCCACCAGGCCACATCTCTGACCTATATGGTCTTTCTTTCTTTTCTTTTCTTTTTTCGCTAGATAGGAGATAGGGCCATGCAAAACGTTACATTGTCTAAATTACTTTTAAGGCCACTGTATCAAAATGGCTTTACAGTAAGTCCTTGTGCTGTTCATGTCTGAAGACTGAGTCTGATATGAACGGCAGGAAATCTGATATTTTGAGGTACTTTGAAACTTTATTACGACAGTGCACAACTGCTAAAAGGTATTGTACCATAATGAAAGCCTGACAGTTTGATCTGTATTTTTAATAGAATTAAGTTTCTTTACATCAAAAAGCTTTTTGGGTTATATTTTCTCACTTTTCCATTAAGTGGCCTTGCATTGAATATCTTTCAGATGCCCTTTTTCATCGGCACATACCAGTCAGAGAGGAAAAGAGTACTTGCAACGACATGAAGAGAGTAATTTCTTTACCCGCACTTGCTCTCAGCTCATGTAAATGTATTACTAATTCATTGGGTTCCTTCTCAGCATTAAAAGAGGAGCTGTTTTTTTTAGATGATTCTGGCCGCTGATGACTGATGAATGCGGGTGGTGTCATGTCACAGGTTCAGGGCTGCTGCTAAGGATTGTGGGAGAGGATAATGCGCACCTAGTTTTGATGAAAGATGATGAAAATTTCAGAGAGTAAAGGGCCCCAAAGTGTCTTCCAGCTTCAGGAAATAATAAATGCCATCTCCATGCTTTAAGGAGCGCTGGAGGTTTGAGCAAGACTTTATTTTAAGAATGTAGATTTTAGCTGTATTCTTGGAAGTGTCAGAGAATATTTTTAACAAGAATGAAAGAGGTGCATGATTTTTGACATTCTAATTGTTGAGTATTTCCCTTGATATTGTAATAAATTTAAATTATTAGAATTTACATTAGAAATCCATTGTATGTTGTATTTTGATTATCCAATCCCATGATAGTCAAATGAAGCTATTACTGCAATATGATGTGAAAAATGTTGTATTATTTTCATTTTTCAACATCAACTAGATGGTTAGGCTAGTTGCCTAAATAACTACTAATTGGGATCAAAGATATTGTTCACCCAAAAAGGAAAATTCTGTCATTAATCATTTTTTTTCTGTGCTCAACATTTGCTTTTGTCAAACACATCTACTGTGTAGTGACCATTTTCAATGCAATTACTACAAATAATGGGGACAAGTTCTTTCAAGCCTCCATAAGATGAATATCATAAAAGTCTTGCGTTCCAAAAACAAAAAAATACATCGTATTGGGTACTTTGACCCATCTACATATATTGCAAGCTGATTTATTTATTTATTTATTTTTTACAATGCTTACCGGTAATTCAACTTTTAAATAGAATATAACTTTTTGGTACTTCAGGAGTAGACATGAATTGAATGCAAGTGCTCACACTTTATTCTTCATATTACAAATAGCTATTGTACAAAACCTTTCTCAAATATTGTGTTTGTTTTAAACTATGAAGAACAGTGCTGTTTAAAATTAGTTTCTGGTTGTCAAATATTTGAGCATGTTCATAGTTAATGAATCACATCTGTGGTTACTCAACTAGGACACCCATGTAAACTTGACAAAATCTTTCACATGTTTGCAGATGCCACTTTTACTATAATATTTTGATTCTAATATTTCAAGTCAAATACACTGCCATTTAGACAACTGCTGAATATTGATCTTTAGAGGGCCACGGTTTCTGTAATCTTTCTCATACTGTACCAGGTTTGGGGTTTATAATATGTGTGAAATGTTGTTTTGACAGATAGTCTGTAGTTTCACTGTACACAAAAGTCTATGGCATAAAGAGGATAATTTGTGATCCATTTTCTCTGTACATCTGAAGTTCAACGTGGACCGAATAAACTCACATTTTCTCTGAACTCTACGTCTGCCCTTCCCAAACCTCTGTGGCATCGGTCCTGTTGTAAAGAGAAACCACCATGACCCAGCCAGTCACATTAAATGGCATT